TGGATCTCATTTTATCCTTGATGCATCTTCTTTATCAGCGTTGCACTTTATTTTGAACATAAAATTAAAGACAAGTGATCATAATCTATTTCTCTGTGGTTAATTTAGCTTCTTTGTGAAATAAATATACTGATTCATAGATTGCCCTCCCATTTTGACGTTAGAATCGTTTTCGGATTTTAAGGTCTCTGCAATAGTTACATTCTTGCTGGGACCAGAACGGGCAGAAAAAATCAAGATATTTGCAGGTGATGTGGTTGCCCGCAAGAAGCCTGATCCCGTAAACTTTAATCCCTCTACATTTTGATTTAATGATGTCTGGTTACTTTGTGTTCACTTAGCCGCAGGCTCTCAGAAACATTTAGAGACTAAACTATGTTCATTCTTCTTGACAGGCCATCTACGAATTGGCGGCTAATACTCTTGGTGTTGATCCTTCAAGGTATTGCAGGGTGCTAGCCCAAATTTCTGATGCTACAATACAACATGTACAACCAACACAATGAGGTTTATTTGAATCTACTTTCGCAACGAATTTGAGGGATCTATGTGCTTTCTCCACCTCAGTTTGCTAAGATATCCAACTTCCATGCTTAACCTTTTTGTTCATGAAAACTGATTTGATTTTCCTGTTCTACAGTTGTGTTGTGATAGAGGACAGCGGCATAGGCCTTGCAGCTGCCAAAGCCGCTGGAATGAAGTGTATAGTAACTAAGAGCGGGTACTTCCACCTTCTTGACATTCCAGATTATATTTCAAACTTATAAGATGGCTTATTTGACAATTTGGAAGGAGTTGAGTAATCTTTAGTAGTCAAATGCTTAATATGTTCACTTCATCTTTAACTCTGGTTGCAGATACACAGCCAATCAAGAATTTCCGAATGCAGATGCAGTCTTCGACTTCATTGGAGATCCCCCGGAGGAGCGATTCGACTTGGCATTCTGCGGAAGCCTTCTCAAGCAGTGAGCTAGCTCAGTTTTCAGTAATTATCTGTTCCATCTAAAATTCGTTGGATAGTGATTAGGGTTTCAGCAAAGATAATAAAAAAAATGCCAGTGCATTTTGTAGTAGTCTTGATGTATATTAAAGTGCAAATTAGCAATTCTCAAGCAGACAAAGTTTTCATTTGTGAATCTCTGGATGAAGTATTATAAGGAGCTTCCATTGCTAAGGCAAGCTTTTGGAATGATCTTAAGCTATGAATTCTTTCATTTGGATCTAGTCCAAGGTTAATTTCTATATTTATCAGTACAGGTTAATATATGTTGAAGTAAACGTTAAACAATTCTGATGAATTATTCACAATAGATTTTAGTTACACGTAGTTTCTAGGTCCATCCGAACAAAATTTTGTGTATTGCAATGACATCTGGGTCAAAGCTAGTGAACTCAGGCTAGTTGAACTTGAGTGGCTCTTTCTTGCTGCCCTCCCCTGAAATTTCTCCATTTTCTAAAGAAGATGAAAGAGTGGGTTTTTTTGGCAGACCCATCCTTCTCTGCTGGTTGAAAGAAACGTTTCATCGTCTCCCAGGCTCTGAGCTCCAACAGTGTTCGTTCCCTACTGGTACAAAGTCCTCGTCCTTCCCTTATATCTTTGGCCCTGGTTTCTGGTAAGGGGATGAACCGGTGAACCGAGACAAACTGAGTCGAAAGAAAAGAGAAAAAAACCGTGTTGCTCAATAAAGTTAACATAGGCTCAAATATCAAATCGGATCACTTTGGATCGATTCCTGTCCCAGTTCTTGTCTTGGAAAAATTGGTATTAACCGACTGCTTAAGTTATGTTTACTTATTCCTTTATATCCAAAATTATTAGTAAGTTTAATTAATATTCAAGTAACATTAGTAACTCCAAGTAATATATAGATATTTTAGCTCAATTAATACCCAGATGTCTTAATTCCAATTCATACCCAACTAAATAACTACTCTAATCTAATTTTTTTTTTGGGGCGAACTATATTCGTTCTTGTTGTGCTTCCGTCTTTCTCTCTTTTCCACCTATTTCTTTATATTTCTCTTCCTACTTATCTCTTCACCTCTCTCTCTTATTTTATCAATTGTACACATTTTTCTCTTCTTCCATTTTTCTATCCGTCCTATTTCTCTCTTCTTCACATCTTTATATTTTTATCTTTTCAAATTGAAAATTGGGCTGAATGGAATTGAAACTGCATAAGTTTGGTTTGATTCTTTTAGACACTTTCTATAAAAATCGAACCAAACCGGACCGTGTATAAGTTCCGATTTCAGTTCCAATTTGAGAGGAAAACTAGACAAACCTGGACAGTGACACCCCTAGTTCCTGGTCCTAATGCGAAATGACAGTTATACCCCTAGAGTTGGGCCTCAAATGATGTGTGAGTTCTGTTTTGTCGCTCTCTGGCCCAAAATGGTGTGTGTAGATAAGTTAGTTAAGGACCGTTGAGAAGAAAACCGCAAAAGTAAGAGACTTTCATTAGTCCAAAATTACATTGAACTTTTGAAGAGAGTGGTTTCTAATGGCGTCAATGGCTGTCTGTTATTCCTTAGCTACATTATCTTCTACGAAACCTTTGCTATCTCACAAAAATACCACCTCCATTGCCAACCTCAAATCCCATGAAAGGACCCTACAATCTTCACTTGTGGGTACAAATATAGCCATTAGCAAAACAACAAGACCATTGAGCAGCAAGAGGCTTGGAACATCCAGTTCTGAGATCATTTGCTCAGCTTCTGCTTCTCCTCTTCCTTCGGCTCTTCTCTTTGATTGCGATGGCGTGCTTGTTGATACGGAGAAGGATGGCCACCGCATTTCTTTCAATGACACTTTCAAAGAGGTAACAGTTCCTTGGTCTTCTTTGGTTTCTCTGTTTTTTCTGTTTTCCTTCAATCTGTGTGTGTTTGTGTGTGGTTTGATGAAATGGGTTTTCTTGGTTTTGTGGAATTGCTATGGATGTTGTGCTTGGTAAGCTCATAAATAGGTGAAGTTTAAAGAGAAATTGGAATTGTCAATCTGCGTTTTCCATCATTTTTGGGACCTGGGGAAAAATTAGCTTTAGATTTTATGGAAATTATTGGCAGACCACAATCTCAATTACTTTCATGGGTTAGTGACATGACTTGATTGATTGCACAGAAAGAATTGGGTGTTACTTGGGATGTAGATTTGTACGGCGAGTTGCTCAAGATTGGAGGTGGAAAAGAAAGGTAAAGTGGTCTCTCCCAAAATACTCTATAGCTAGCTTACATTGGAGTTGCATGGTTCCTGGGGTGCTTAGCTTTGTTCTTTTTATTTATACACTGAATTATTTGGTTTAAATTTTATATGAGCAAACATCTAATTTAGTGCAGAACTTTGATTTCTATTTGTACTCGAACGGTTCTGGTTTTCGTAGGATGACAGCCTATTTTAACAAGACGGGTTGGCCAGAAAATGCTCCGAAAAGTGAAGAAGAAAGAAAAGCATTCATAGCTTCACTTCACAAGAGAAAGACAGAGTTGTTTATGGCCCTTATTGAGAAAAAGCTGCTGCCGCTTCGGCCAGGAGTTGCAAAGTTCGTTACCATCTGATCTTCTGCTTTTGCATGCAAAATTTATTATTTGACATTAGTGTGTTATATCTGTCTTGCATTTTCTGGTTGCAAGACTTGGATGTAATGATATTGATGGTTAAGATTTGTCTCATTTTACAGTGATTTAGAGATGCCAATTCATTTTATAACAAAATGGCTTTAAGAAAATCAACCACTTAAGAATCTAAATATCATTATGAGTTTAATAATAAGATAATGGTTCCAGAAGGTGAGTAAGATTATCCAAGTAAAAATTCAAATTCTGGATATGTTAGGTAGCTGAGTTTCTCTTATCAACTTGTACAGGCTGATAGATCAGGCTTTAGCAGGAGGAGTTAAAGTTGCTGTGTGCAGCACTTCCAATGAGAAGGCGGTATGCTAAATCAGGTTCCACAACTTAATTGCTTGCATAATTAGTTTTCCTGTGACTCCTCAAGAACTATATTAATCAAAACCTAACTCTTACATGTTTCCAAAAGCTATTGGGTCTAGATCAGATTGACATTGCTCATTGATAATTAAATGCACTGAAAATTGAAATTATGGGATCTCATTTTATCCTTAGTACATCTTCTTTATCAGCTTTGCACTTTATTTTGAGCATAAAATTAAACACAAGGGATCATAAATCTTGTTCTCTGTGGTTAATTTAGCTTATTTGTGAAATAAATAATACTGATTCATAGATTGCCCTCCCATTTTGACGTTAGAACCATTTTCTGATTTTAAGGTCTCTGCAATAGTTACATTCTTGCTGGGACCAGAACGGGCAGAAAAAATCAAGATATTCGCAGGAGATGTGGTTCCCCGCAAGAAGCCTGATCCAGTAAACTTTAATCCCTCTACATTTTGATTTAATGATGTCTGGTTACTTTGAGTTCACTCAAGCTCAGGCTCTCAGACACACTTAGAAACTAAACTATGTTCATTCTTCTTGACAGGCCATCTATGTATTGGCGGCTAACACTCTTGGTGTTGATCCTTCAAGGTATTGCAGGACATTCTAGCCCAAATTTCTGATGCTACAACAACCAACATAATGAGATTTTATTTGAATCTATTTTCACAATGAATTTGAGGGATTGATGTGCTTTCTCTACCCCATTTGCTAAGATATCCAACTTCCATGTTTAACCTTTTTGTTCATGAAAAATGATTTGATTTTCCTATTCTACAGTTGTGTCGTGATAGAGGACAGCGGCATAGGCCTTGCAGCTGCCAAAGCTGCTGGAATGAAGTGTATAGTAACTAAGAGCGGGTATTTTCCACATTCTTTACATTCCAGATTATTTTTCGAACTTTTAAGATGGGTTGTTGGAAATTTGGAATGAGTTGAGTGTAATTTTTGCCGGTCATGCATGTCAAATTTCTAGTAGCAAATGCTTAACATGTTCTCTTCATCTTTAACTCTGGTTGCAGATACATCTTGTTCTCTGTGGTTAATTTAGCTTATTTGTGAAATAAATAATACTGATTCATAGATTGCCCTCCCATTTTGACGTTAGAACCATTTTCTGATTTTAAGGTCTCTGCAATAGTTACATTCTTGCTGGGACCAGAACGGGCAGAAAAAATCAAGATATTCGCAGGAGATGTGGTTCCCCGCAAGAAGCCTGATCCAGTAAACTTTAATCCCTCTACATTTTGATTTAATGATGTCTGGTTACTTTGAGTTCACTCAAGCTCAGGCTCTCAGACACACTTAGAAACTAAACTATGTTCATTCTTCTTGACAGGCCATCTATGTATTGGCGGCTAACACTCTTGGTGTTGATCCTTCAGGGTATTGCAGGACATTCTAGCTCAAATTTCTGATGCTACAACAACCAACATAATGAGATTTTATTTGAATCTATTTTCACAATGAATTTGAGGGATTGATGTGCTTTCTCTACCCCATTTGCTAAGATATCCAACTTCCATGTTTAACCTTTTTGTTCATGAAAAATGATTTGATTTTCCTATTCTACAGTTGTGTCGTGATAGAGGACAGCGGCATAGGCCTTGCAGCTGCCAAAGC